GCCCTAGTTAATGCTGGCCACCATACTAGTACTCCGTATGTGAGTATGGGTCTTACCACCGCTGTGTAAAGCCATATTATTATCCTGGGGTGGATGCCCCAGTTCTTTCCGAACATCTTCCTGCAGGAATAGAATGCTATGCTTGCTTTCTTGACTCTCTCGTTAATGTTTTGTTTCCATGACAGTTTCGCATCCAGTATCACTCCCAGATACTTTGCCTGCTGTGATATCTCTAGTTCTATGCCATCTATCTTTGGCTTTGTGAAGCTAGGGACCATAGTTCTCCTAGTGAAGAGCATTAGTTCCGTTTTACTTGGATTTATGCCCAATCCGCAGGCTTTTGCCCATGCATTGAGTTTAGTGAGTGCCCTTGTCATTAGTTCGCTGATGACGTCGGGGAATGGTCCTGAAGTGAGTAGGACTACGTCGTCTGCGTATGCTACCACTTTTACTCCTTCGCTATTTAGTGTTCTTAGTACGTCGTCCATGTTTATCAGCCAGAGCAGTGGGGACAGGACTCCCCCCTGAGGTGTGCCCCTCTTCACAAATCTTGTGTGATGAGTGCCACTCAGTTCGGCTGTTATCCTCCTGCTCGTCAGCATTGCGCCAATCCATGCCCTGATACCTCCCTTTACTCCTATACCGTTGAGGGAACTCAGGATGGAATCCGCATTGACGTTATTAAAGGCTCCTTCTATGTCCAGGAAGGTGGCCATGGCGTAGTTTTTGAAAAGTAGAGCCTTTTCTAAGTATCGCACTACCTCGTGTAATGCTGTTTCCGTGGATCTGCCTTTCCTGTACGCATGTTGCGCATTGGAAAGGTTTTTCTCCGTTCTTTCTCTGATGTGGATATCATTGATCCGTTCCAGTGTTTTCCTTAGGAAGGAGGTAAGGCTTATCGGCCTATAATCCTTGGCTTGGATGTGTCCCCTTCTTCCTGGTTTTGGTATGAAGACTACCCTCGCTTTCTTTCATGGAAGTGGTATGTGTGCTGTTTTAATGCATGCCTGGAAGATTGCTTGCAGCCATTTTCCCGTGATTGCTTTTGTTGTTTGTAGCATTGCCGGTATTACTCCGTCTGGACCCGGGCTTTTGTATTTGTCGAAGGAATCTATCGCCCAGTGGATTCTTTCCATGGTGATGATCTCTTCTACTTGTAGCTGCTGGTCTGCCCCCTGGCTTTCCATTATTCTAGGTTCTTCGTTTTGGTTTCCTGGGAAATGCGTATTCAGCAGGATTTCCAGTGACTCTTCAGCCGACGTACTTCCTGTCCCATCTGGTTTGTTTATGAGCGTGGGGCTTGTGTGTCCTCTCGATAGGATTTTACTTAGCCTCGCCGTGTCTTTGACTCCTTCAAGCGATTCACAGTAGCTGCTCCAAGATTCCTTCTTGGCTACGTAGATTGCCTTTTTGTATTCTTTGTGTATTGCTTTGTACGGCTGCCAGTCTTTGGTTCCGTAACTTGTGTTGAAGGCTTTTCGAACTTTCTTTCTGAGCTCGCATAGCTCTTTGTTCCACCATGGTGGGTATGTCTTCTTAGAGTATGTTAGTCTGCATGACTCTTTGTAGGCTTTGTTCAGAATATTTGTGAAGTCCTCGACTTCCTTATCTATTCTCTCCGGGGTGGATCGGGTCTTGATCATTCTGTCTTTGACTTTTGACTGTACAATCTTTCCGTATTTGTCCCAGTCAGTGTTTCGAGGGTTTCGCTTCGGCGCCGTTTCATATACCGGCATCACGATTTCGAAGAATATGTACCTGTGGTCTGAAAACGAGTCTTGTGTAGAGACTCTCCAATTTCTTACCTTATTTCTTACCTCCATTTGGAGGGTTATGTCTAGGACTTCCTCCCAGCCCTAAAATCCTTCCGTGCTTGGAAAGAAGAAGGTGGGCGTGTTTCCCTTGTTACAAATATTGACGTCACGACATATAATACTATCGAAGAGAGACTCACCCCTTTCGTTTGTCACGACATATAATACTATCGACGAGAGACTCACCCCTTTCGTTTGTCTCCTTACTTCCCCACAGTGTGTGCCTTGCGTTGGCATCGCACCCGAGGATGAGCGTCGTCTTAGTCTCCTCGGCCCACTGCATCACCCTATTAACCGCTTCAGGTGGTGCAGGTTCGTCGTGGGCCATGTAACCGGAGGCTATTAGTATGGCTGTCCCATCCGCCGCCTTGAATCTTGCCACTGCTAGATCTAAGTTGCTGAGATTGGGGTAGAGAAGAGCATTAAGGTTGTTTTTAATGATTATACCCGCCCTCGGCCCACCTGTCGAGTTTGTGTACAATGTTGTGTATCCCTTTATGGCCATGCCAGAGATTTGTCCGTCCCTTGTCCATGGCTCTTGTATAAGGCCGATGTCGATGTCCTTCTCCCGGAGAAGGACCCCCAGATTAGCTGAAGCGTGGGAGCTGCGCTTCAGGTTTATCTGAACGACCGTCGGCATTAGATCGGGGTGGTGGGGGTGCTGTCGTCGATCGCCAAATCGTTCAGCAGCTTATTGGCGTCCTCGACTTCATCTTCCAGGATGTCGTCCGGTTCGTCTAGGAAGACCTTCACCTTTGCTTTCCTGATGCCGTACCGGACCTTGTTGTCTGCTGCCTTCAGCTGTTCTAGGCAGCGCTGGTTGATTAAGAACAGATATGGCTGGCTGGACTTCATTTCTCGCTCAGCTCTGAGAATGGCCCAGTCCTCCATGTCGACTCCCTTATTCATTGCTCGCAGAGTCTTGAGCACCCTTTCATGGCTAGACAGCCCCTTGGGCAACCAGATGCGAGCTCTGGGTCTCCTTGGGATGTCCTTGGCGGGGACTAGCTTTATGCTAATCCCCTTCCATGCTTTGCTTAGTCTGGCAACGCAATCCGCCAGGAAGTCCCGCGAAAACTCGTCGTCGCACCTGATTACCCGGTGCCCCCTAACCATGTCTGAGGAGTCAAAGGAGGGTGACTGGCCCGTTGGCTCGGACAGTAATTTGTCGGTTACCATCTCCGCCAACTGGGTCTCGACCTCCTCCCATTTCTCCATCAGAAGGCGCCCATCGTCGTTGAGCTCGTCTATAAGTGCCATTGCGAGGCTGTCTCTGGCCACCTCGCTGAACTTTTTCGCCGGTTTGACGAACGTGGTCGACCTCGGTGCTCCCTTAGCGTCCTTGGCTCTCTTCGGAGCGCTCTCGCTCACCTCTTGTGAGCGGTTGCGCTTTGCTTGAGGAGGCAAAGACGTCTCTGGGTGCTCCTTCTCGTAGCGCTCGTATTCCTCGATCACTGCTAGAAATCTGGCTTTGTCTGCAGCGTCGCGCGGGTCGGCTTTGCCCTCCTTTTCATTCCTCGCTAATTTGGCGAGGATGAAATGGGCCTTGCTTGCCTGCGCCTTTCGTTGTTGGTGGGTCCACGGTTTTGTCTTCCCGTGTTCGCCGGTCGCTTTGGCTTGGCTTGCCGCCGCTTTAGTGTGCTTTGGTTGTGTCGTTTGAGGTGTGCTTGTCTATACACCTCCCTCTGTATTGGACGGAGCTAGCGTCTCGTCGTCTGAGCGCAGTAGCTCCTCCTCGTCCAGTTCGCTTTCCGTCGATTTGTGATGGGGTTTTACCTCCCCCACGAGGTCCGAAGCGGATTTTTTTGTTGTGCCCATTTTCATAAACGCCCGCGTTGCTCGGCAGGGCGAGCGCGGCGGGCCCGAGGGGTTCGGGGCATTGAAGGGAGGTCGACCGTGGCTTCGCCCCTAAGCCACGGCAAGGCTCGTTCCGACCCAGGGTTGCCCGGCCCTGGGAAGGCTCCGTTCGAACACAGCTGGTTTAACCCCTCAGCTGCGAACCTTATAGTCAGTGGGCACGGGTCGCTTTACACGCCTGACTTGAGGGGAGGTAGTTTTAAGACTTGCCCATGTCTCGGTAGGGATTGGGAGGCAAAGGATTATTAGGTGAGCGATTCACTGGAGGTGCCGCTCGCATTGGCCGTACCGCAGTACGTTTCCAGGAGGTACCACGCGGAGGACCTTCTCCCAGGAGAAGGTGGTGTCTATCAAACCGATATTCACCTACAAGTCGACTTGGTGTACCATTAGAGCCAAGGAATAGTCATCAACAGTTTCCCTGTTGACTTTGCCTTGGATTGGTACACCCATACCACCCAAAAAAAAAAAAAAAAAAAAAAAAAAGACTATAAATAAGTATTTTTCATTTTAAAATGATCCTAACAGTCGTCTTCTACGTCAAGTTCTATTGAAAACGGATTTTCAGAGTCAGAATCTGAATCACTATCACTATTTATTGCTCCGTGCTTAAGTCGAATTCTATCAGATCATCATAAGTCCAACTCGAAACGGCAGTTGTTCTACGATTGTTTTCTATATACACATCAAGCAGTTGCTCATAGGCGAACTCAACCACAGCTACGATATGTCGGATTTATATATATAGGGGCAAAAAGGAGCAAAAAAGCTTAATAAAATTAGTTTATTTACACTTTGCACTTTAATGACACATAGTTACTTTTTGGCACAAGTTGGCACAAAATTTGTCATAATTTACAATAGATGGGTTACCAGGTTAGCCTTTTTATACTTTTGGACAACACAAATAAATGCACACAAAGAACACATTATCAAACATAAACAAAGTCTATTTTAATACAAATATTCTACATACCTTTGCCTTTTTTTCCATAATTTTAGTGAAAACTGCTTAAACTACAAAAATTTTGTCACGCTCGCTAGTAAACAAAATTTTTCTCGCGCTTTTGAGTTTCACACGCGCGCAATCAAAGAGCTGACTTTGAAGGGCTTCCACAATTTCCGGGATGCATCAAAACAATTAAAATCTTTTGATTCATTTTAGTCAAAGTATATACTATTCAAATTTGATTATTAAAATAGGTTTACTTTCTATGAAAAATTTGAATTTTCGTCGATATATCGGCTCGCTGGCCCAATGTGCATTGCTAAAATGTTTACATATTATCTAACCTTAACATTTTACAAATTTTCATTTAACATTTCCAGGAGATAAACTATGATTCCCCTCGAGGAGGAGTGTCTGTTATCACAGAAAAGGGAGACATAACAACATCATACCTTTTAATTCAACGTGCTAGAATTTCTGATTCAGGGAAATATTCCTGCTTACCTTCAAACGCAAACCCCAAATCTGTAATTGTCCACATTTTGAAAGGTAAATCTACAGAAATGTTTTATGTCAATAAATAATAATTTTCATATCTAGGAGACCATCCAGCAGCTGTCCAAAAAGGCAATATACTACTGGCGGATACATATATCCTTTTTTTAACAATTTTGTGTGCATTCAAGTAATCCATGAAATAATTATGTGACTATAGTCTTTTTTTACAAAATAAATGAATAACTACACCAATGAAAAGCTTTGTTCGCTAAGTTTGGTTGGTTCCAAAAGACGACGAATGCAGCCACTGGGGCAGATAAAAACTATTATTTTGGTTGCTCTTTCTTCCTAGCTAATTGGTGTTAAGTGCTTTATACAATCGCTTTATACAATCGTTGACAATCGTCCCTTTATCTTCCAGTAAGAGACTTATAATAATATTGTTGAGACACCAAAGGTTGGACTGATAAGTCAATTCATTTATGCAATTGGGGTGAAAAAAAGTATTTTTACTTTGCATTCATTATTATTTATGTATTTATTTTTATTTTCATTTATTTATTTATTAGATAAAAATAAGTCGGGTTTTTCTTCCTGATCCTATAACTCCAGAACGCACGAACCAATTTCCACGGTTTTTCATTCGTTGCAAAGGTCTCGGGCTTCGTGATATATGCAGCAAAGAAAATTCAGGAAAAATTGCAACAGAAAAGTGGAAAAGTCATTTTTGCATACATCGCCATCTCTGATATATAACATGCCATTATTCTGTGCCCAGTTTATTTAATTAGACAAACCGAAATTGTGTTCAATTTTGTGAAATTGTGAAAAAAAAAGTAAAAAAACAAAGTTATTCGTTTCCTATTTCGTTTCAATTGAAAACCAGGATTTGCCTTTAAGGTGGTAAGTTGAATAGTGTAAATTATGTGGACTTGAGGTTAAATTAACCACTCTGCCTATAGTCGTTGATCAAGACCAATCCAGAATTCCCCGGATAGTTCACCAACAGTTTTATCTAAGTATTTCTGAAGTAAGCCGACACTAGCATCGAATCGCTGCAGAATTACTATTCAATTGGGACCAGCAGTGGGAATATTCTCAGCTATTGCCGGCCTGTCTTCGTCCCCGATTTTAATTAATTTAATAAGTGGCACTTTCGAATGGTTTAGTAAATCAAATGCTGCATCTGAGCCTTGAGAATTTGTAGCACTTGGGGCAAGCTTAGTGTCCTCTTCTTCGGACTTCATATATTTCAGCGGTTTTTTTAAGGAAAATTGCAACAGAAAAGGTCGTAAGTTGAACTGTGTAAATTATGTCGATTTGAGGTTAAATTAACCACTCTGCCTATAGACCCTGATCATGTAAATAACTCCAGAACGCACGAACCGATTTCCACGGTTTTGCAAAAAATAAGTTATTCGTTTCCTAACATTTTAATTGGAAACCAGCATTTGTATTTAAGGTAGTAAGTTAAACCGTGTAAATTATGTGGATTTGAGGTTAAATTAACCACTCTGCCTATAGTCCAAAATGCCTAGAGCACGACGTTTGAGCATCGGTCTCCGCGCAAGGCATGCAAACCAGCAACAAGTGTATTCACAGAACTTAAGCGAGGAAAGACGAAATGTAGTAAGTGAAAATGCCCGATTGAGACAACGCGTGAGCACACGAAGATCAACTGGTGCGCAGGATCCAAGCGGATCCCAACCAGCGTAGCAGGCTCTTAAGGGGGGAGGGGTTAAGGTATTTAATTTTTTTCGAAATTTTTTATTATTTTTTATTTTTAAGGCCTAATATATTAAGAATATTGTGTCTAAGTTTTACATCAATCATAGGTACATTGACTAAGTTATACAGACTTGAACGAAGGTCGGTCGGTGTTCAATGCATAAGCATGATAAAGTTTAAAGCGCTCTCCTGAAAAAGTTTAAGTTTGTTATATTTTTTATTTAACAAATTAACTTAATTTTTTAGTCCAAAATCGAGGTTTTGACTTCAAATTCAAAAAATTTTAAAAATAAAAACGCTACGTGAATACCTCGGGACACTTATCCTTTAACGAATGAGGTATATTTTTTTCAGATCGGATGATTCTGTGGACTGTTAGGATGTACACCGCAATCCAACTTTTTTGGTGGCGACTCGGGAGATTCCCTATAACTCCTCTACCTCTAAATATTTTTCAATACAAAATTTATCAAAAAGTGTTCAAATGTTGTGTTATTATATGGTTTTTAATTCATTAACCCAACTTTAGCCGTTTCGCCATAATAAATTTTTGAAACATTTATGAACATTCCATCTTTCAAAATAAATGTTCCTGAGGAATTCTTTAACAAACTAAGCTCTGCCCAAATCTGGCCAAAGCAGTCGCCAAAGCAGTCGTGTGATTGTCAAGGAACTCGAAGGTAAGAAAAAGAAAAAACGGCCAGTAGGAATTACTCTTCCTGGGCTCGATTTGATCACTGCGCCTTCTAAGTCTTCCTATTCATTCCCAAAAAACTAACTAACTTCCTTGGTTTCTCCTACCACAATGCAAGAGGATTACGCAATAAGCTTCCTAAATTGTACTCCAATAGTGTCACATTCGCTTCCCAAGTATAGTGTTCACAGAAACCTGGTTAAAGCTGGAAATTTTAATTTGACTTAAAGCCAATGATTCAGATTCGACTCCACTCTTACGTCCGAATTAATAACTGTCGAGGAGTGCCTTTGAGCTCAGAGCCAGGTTCGGATATTTTTTTTCCAAATTTGAAAGCTGGAATCGTTTGCCCACCAATTAGTTTTGTTTTCCCACGTCCAGTTTTGAAGATATGAAAATTTGAAGAAGTTCAAAAATTTTCGAACATCAAAAATTTGACGTTTTTCAGATTTTTTTTTTTTAAATCGCAATAACTTCCTTTGCCCACCCTTCAGAACTTTGAAATTATTTAAACTTTAGGAAATATGACACATTAAAAATTTGCTCCGCTTTACCAAAGAAATAATGTACTGCCCACCTCAGAAAACTGAATATTTTTAGAAAAAAACGTTTGCCCATCTCTTAAAAATAAATATTAAAAATAAACGTTTGCCCATCTCATAAAACTAAATACTAAAAATGTACACCTGTTGTGTTAAAATATCGCTTAACGAAATTTACACCTTTTCACAATTGTACAAAAAAAGTTAAAAAAAAAATCAAGTTTGGACATGATTAAAATTTTTACCTGCTACAAATACGCTTTTCAACAATTTTACGATTGCAATTTTCCGTTTATTCAATCATGCACAATCGAGATCAAATACTTCCGCATAAAATCTTAAGGCAGGTGTCGGAACGGGACAGCTATACCGGGAAGAACCAGGAAAAAAAAGCGCCGCTGTTAAAAACATAAGCCAGACAGAGTGGCGCGCGATCTCAAAACTCCGGAGCGAGGAATTTTTGTGGATTATCCTGCCTCTCTGACGCCAAGTTTCAGTGGCATTGTTTTTGTAAATCTTCACGGATCACTGAACGCAGGCAACGAACTTCTGAGACGACTTGCTGGTGCCTCTGCCTGTATTTTGTGCGATTCCGCGAATCGAAAAAAAGATGGGCAATCGAAAAAATTCATTTTTAAAAGATGGGCAATCGTTAAAATTAAGTTTTAAGAGATGGGCAAACGGTTTTTTTTCTAAGACGATTCAGTTTTCTGAGGTGGGCAATATATTATTTCTTTGGTAAAGCGGACCAAATTTTTAATGTGTCATATTTCCTAAAGTTTAAATAATTTCAAAATTCTGAAGAATGGGAAAACGTGGGCAAACGAAGTTATTGCGATTAAAAAAAAAATTGAAAAAAGTCAAATTTTTGATGTTCGTAAATTTTTGAACTTGTTCGAATTTTCATATCTTCAAAACTGGACGTGGGCAAAAAAAAAAACTAATTGGTGGGCAAACATGGGCAAACAATTCCAGCTTTCAAATTTGGAAGAAAAAAAATTTTGAACCTGGCTTTTATAAGCTCAACGAAAAACCTGAATATTAACATGAACACTAAGAGAAATCAAGGCCTGGCAAAAAACCTCCATCTGAACCCTCCCCGAGGGTGCCGGCTGGGCAATGGGCACTATATTAGCCCGGACACGGGTAATGCATCGCTGCTTGCCCCGTCCGCGATAATACAGTGTCTAGCAAAGGCCACGGTTCAACTCCTTCTGCCCTAAAAAGCCTAAGGAAGTGAGCCGTTAGCCATGGGTGGAGGTGCCTGACAGAAGGCATAAAGCGCAAGTGGGCGTCCCCCATAAAAGATACCATTCTGGAGGGTTTGAATGATAAAACCAGGGCTGGGATGTCAGCCCAAACGTCGATGGAAGGCGTGACCGCTACCACCGGCGGGCACGGGGGGGAGCAATCGCCTCAGCATGTCGTCAGCGGATACACCTCTGATGTGACGGGAGCAGGTCATGTCAGTTGCAACAAAAATCCTACGCATGGGGAAGTTGAGACGCTCGCGTAACATAGTCGATACAGACTCGGACCTTGAGAGCGTGCAGCTACTCCACCCACCGAAAGCAGGCACCAGCTCCCAGCGCAGGGACGGGCCAAAGCGGTCAAGCGAGGGAATGAAGGCCAAGGCGCTGTATAAGGCTGCCCTCCGCATCCAGGATCGGCTCCAGGAAAAAGCCGCCCTATCCCCAGAGCAGAAGGCAAAGCTTACCTGGGCTGAGGAGAAGCTTCACTTCGCCAAACTCCCCCATATGAGTTCGACTGGCGGATTCGCCAGCAAGGTGGAGGAGACGCTTGCCAACAAAAGGCAACGCTCAACCGAATGCGCCTCTATGGACGCACTGGGGAGCAAGCGGCAACGCGGGCTTAAGGAGGCAGGCCCTCTCCAAATGGCGAAAAAGCCCAAAAAACCGCAAAAGTCAGTGAGGTGACCAAACGACACCTGATCGTGGCCCTCATTGAGAGAAGCGATGAAGCCGGCAAAATGACCGCGGCGCAGTGGAAGATGGTGCATGCGGGGCTCGTTGAGTCATTGTACGCACGGGTGGAGCATGATCCCGAAGCTCCCATGCCCACCTTCGATGGCGCTGGGTGGCTAAATGGGGTCAAAGTCCTAAAGTGTATGGATGACCCGACGAGGAAGTGGCTGACGAAAGTGGTCTGCCAGTTGGAGGCGCTGTGGGAGGGAGCCAAGCTAAAGGTGGTGGACCGGAAGCTAATCCCATCCACTCCAAAAGCGAAGGTACTCTTCCCCATCGCAATCCATGCGGACCGGGCGCTGAAGCTGC